CTCATCCACATGCATAATAAAATGGCTGCTTGCCACACTTCCTCTCTCCCTAATGGCACGTCATCCCTAGTCAACCTATCACCTCACTTCCTCACCTGCCTCCACTAATCTCAACCCCTCCCTCCTCTTCACCCAGCATAAAAATCCTTCCCCCGGCAATACCTCTCTCTCTCTCTCTTTTCTTCCAACATCCAATAAAGCCTTTGTGTTCAGGCTCATGCCATCTCACAACAATAACAACAAAATAGAAAAAAAAAGACTAATACAGGTCTATATTGGGGGGCGGGGTAGTGGGGGTTATAAAAGTAGTATTAAAATCCTTTTCAGTATGCTGTCATTAAGTGTTCTTGAGTCACTTTTGACTCATAGAAGCTCTGCATACGGTTTCTGAGGCTTTTTAAATCTACTATATAAATAACATTTTAAGGTTGCTGTTGTTAAATGCTATGGAACCAGTTTCAACTTAGAGAGACGCTATATAGGGTTTTGAGGCTTTAAATCTTTTTGCAGGACAAAAATATCTCATCTTTTTCTTGAGGAGTAGCTGGTGGGGTTGAACCACAGACCATGTTTACAATCCAGTGCCTCTCCTATAAGCTAAAATGAAACTCTAAGTCTTAGGAAGGAAAATTTTACAAACTTTTTTTTTTACATAATAATATAAGCTTTAAGGTGAAAAGACATGTGTAGACTTAGTAGCATTGTTGGTTTTATATTTTATAAATTGCAATGGCATATTTTCATCTTTAATAGTATGTTACAAGACTGCACTTAACAACAACAACAAACAATCATTTAAGTCAAATCAGGGAGTAAATAAATTACTAAAAAAAAAAAGCTTTGGATTACTCAGGTATTACAAAAGAAGATCTTCTCCAATAAAATTAACTATTAACCATCATTCCTGATTGTTGTTGTTAAGTGCCACTGAATCGCTTCCAATCAGTCTTGATAGAACTATTTTATTCTTTGGTAAATAGGTAGTCTTATGTAAGTCATCACCTGTTTGGCTTTTCATTCTTTGAATTTTTAAAATATGTTCCTTTTTACCTGGTAAATAGCTGCCCGTATGTCATCAGCTTTGTCGGGCTGTATTTTCTGTTTCTGTGAGGGCTTTTGGTCCAAGAATTTCAAAGTTCCTAAATAGTGAGAAGAGGTAGTTGTCGAGTAAGTCTTCCTTAAAGAACTAGGTTTCTTTAAAAATGTAGAGGTCATTAATCTGAAACGATGCAAATAAATAAAAATCAAATATTATAACTGTATTCTGAAAAACAGAGATCTATTAGAATTTGCAACTACTGCATCAGGAAAACCAAACTATAATTTAATATAATTATCTTAAAATAGCACAAAGTATACAGTCTTTTCTTAAGATACAATCATTTCAAGTAGTCACCTTTAAGTTATCTAGCTAAAAGTGAATGTTCTTTTCAGACACTTGTAATTAAAGCATTTTTAAAAATATGGCTCACAGCTCAGCTGTGATACTTGGATAAGTAATATTAATAAAGTTTAGTTCCTCTTTTACTAAGCTTATTGCATTTTGTTACATGAACAATTCTAAATGTAAAGTTAGAAAGAAGAGCCAACTCTATCTTAGGGGTCAGAGGGAGAATCTGACCCATCATCTGTTTCAGTAAATAAAGTTTCGTTGTAATACAGTCACATCCATTCATTGATAATATTGTTTATGACTGCTTTCCAACAACAGCAGAAGTGAATAATTATAACGGAGATTGTACAGCTCAACACCTAAAATATGCAATATCTGGCACTGTACAGTAATTTGCCAACCTTGTTATATTTCATTAAAGATAATTTGATTAATGAGAATTTGAAAAATTCAGAAGGTTTTATCAGCATTTATGACTTAGGCTTACATTATCACCAGTGTAGATAAAGCAGTAGCCTGTTACCGTTTTAATAAACAAACTTAGTCCGTAGAACCAAAAGTCTTTTAAGTACATTTTTTTGAGATACATAATAAATAAAGTGCTGAACTTATTAAGCTTTATAACTATATCTATAGTGCCAGGAGTCCTGGTATGGGTTAATGCGCCAGACTACAAAGTCGTTTGAACTGCAGGGTTGGTGGTTCAAGCTCACCAGCTGCTCCTTGGAAACTCTATAAAGGGTTGCTATGGGTCAGAACCAACTGGACAGCACTTAACAACAACACAGTAGCAGGGAAAGACAAGATAAAGGAACTCTATTCCAAGTGCATATTAGAATATGAGTAATCCCTAATCACTGATGTCAGGGAAGAAGAAAAATGCCACTGAAGAATGAAGATCCTAGATCAGTAAGTAGTGCAGAAACATTCCAGGTATTTAAAAAACAAAACAAAACAAAAACAGCCAGTGATAGACATCTAAATTTTATTAATTCTTTCTTTATAAAATAATTAAATGAAGTGTTTCATTATGAACTATCCCATTAATCTCCAGAGATGGAAATTATGAGAAAACCAAATACTATAAAACAGAATTTGCTTGACAAAAGTTAAGTTTACAACCAACATGGCTAGAATGAAACCCCCTAAGTGAGGGGAACTGATAGCTTGATTACCTGCCACATGCACTAGATGCTCTATGATTTGTTGAATTTTTATTCTTCATATTTCTATCTTCAGTTGTTTCCTATGAAACAGAAAAAAAAAGCAGAGATGGATCATCCATATTTATTATCACAATTAGGTTTACAGACCAGACTAACTGTAAACCATAATTTTTTAAGCATTTATTATAGGTGAATCATGGTGCACAACAGATGATAAACACATAAATTACCGTGATCTATGGGGGAGATAAGCTAGGGCACAGTGACAAGATAGTGTTGTGGAAGGACGATTTAAATGAGCATGCTCAGAGAAATGTCCCTGAGGGGTAGACTTCTGAGCCTAGATTGAAAGGATGCAAAGAAAAGGGGCATGAAGGACTCTAGAAAAAAACACAGCAAGAAGGGAAAAGGCGTGATCTTTTTTGAAAAAGAGACAAGGTCTGTGGTTCTGAAGCAGAGAAAATGTGGAGGAGAGTGGGGAAGCGTGTCGTCAAAAAAGACTCACACTAGATCTTTAAGCAAGGGTAAAGAATTTGAATTTTACTGTTGTAATGAGAAACCGGCAAAGAGAGAGAGGAATATTATGATAGCTTTCCTGTTGTAATATATAACGATCTCTTTGAGATCTCTAAAGTACTGTCTATAAACTCCAAAATTATCTTCTTTTAGGAAGACTTTCCCACAACATTTTCACTTTACAAAGATAGATGGGAGCAGGTATTAAAGTAAGAACACAGATATAAGCACAGCCCAGTAGTTTTGTTCTAAGGAAACTAGCTAAAAATGATACACAGAGAACATGAATTAATAAATTTCCTTCATAAACTTTAATATTAGTTTAATATTTCTGTGGAGTCCTGCGGTAGCACTGTAGGATAAACTGCTAAACTCAAGGTCAGTTCAAACCCACCAGCTGTTCCTTGAAAACGTCATACAGGGTACCTGTGAGTTGGAACTGACTCATTAGCACTAACAACAAAAATACAGCATTATTGTGGCACTGTAGGATAAGCACTGGACTGCTAACCATAAGGTCAGCGGTTCAAATCCACCAGTCACTCCTTGGAAATCCTATACCAGGTCACTGTGAGTTGGAACCAACTTGATGGCGCTTGACAACAATATTTTACATGACAAAAAACACAGTTTTCAGTTAGCATTGTTGTCTTCCTCTAATAATGAGTACACACGGTTGCTAACTAACTGTAGTTTACAAAAGTAAAGAGAGATAAAAAGTAAAAATTCATATACCTTGAATCTTGAAAGTATAGCATGCTGAGACAATTTAGTGTAAGGTCCACCCTAAATTCCAAACCCACTGCCATCAGGTCAATTCCAATTCATAATGACCGAACCTTCATAGAGCGGTATTTTAATATCAAATATGCTTTTTATAATTAACACATTTTTAAACTTCAGGAAATTTGGAGTGAAGACAGTGACACCTAGGGTTCAGTTGGAGTCTTGGTGTGGTGGTGTAGGATAAACACTGGACCACAATGTAGGTTTGAACCCAAGGTTGGTGGTTCAAACTCATCAACTGCTCCTCGGAAACCCTATACAGGGTTGCTATGAGTTGGAACTAACTTGATGGCACTTAAAACAACATGGTTCGATTAAAAATTATGAGAGATATAGAACATAAATTTGTTTATGTTTAGGACTATTTACCTATAAGTACACAGGGTTCTATAGATCTCCGTATTGTAGAACTACAGATATCTAGAATAATGTCTGAGATTTTTAATTAGTTGCAGTGAACGTCTTTTGGATAATGCTTTATAAGATTTTTACAACTTTAATAAAAATCTTTATCAAAATGTTTATTGAACTATTTATCAAACTATTTCTAAAAAAAAAACTTGGTCATCATTTCTAAAAAAAAAATAATCAGCTAATTATTTTGACATTACATAAAAACAATATCTTGAAAATCAAGTTTTTAATGAAACATTGTTATTGTCAGGTACCCTGGAGTTGGTTCTGAATCACAGTGGCTCTCTGCACAATAGAACAAAACACTGCCTGGTCCTGTCGAGCCCTCATAATTATTGCTATATTTGAGTTTATTGTTGCAGCCACTGTGTCAATCATCATTTCAAGTTTTCCTCTTCTTTACCAGGTATAATGTTCGTTTCCAAGGACTGTCCCCTCTTGATAATATCTTTCCTGAAGTTAAAATTCTATTAAACTGTTTCAAATATATTTGACAGTATAATATGAATATCAGAAAACAGGTTTTCCACAGATAATTCAGATATACACAATATGGAAGATAATATATTTTAAATTTCTATTGCAACTTTTAGGCTTATGTAGTATAAGAAGTCTAAATCTATGTAAATACCTTTGCAGATTCTGTTGCATTGCTGGATATCAAGACGCTTTGAGATTTAGCCAGCAGTGGATCAACTTTTATGTCATCATCCATAATCATTTCAGATTTTTCCTTTGCTCCTTCTAGGACATCAACAGTCACTTCACTTTGCTTGGGTTTCTCAAATGCAGTAGGAACAAAGTCATTCAAAAATGAATGTGCTTCACTTTCTTTTGATTTCAAAGGATTATGGTTTTCAGTAAATTTTCCTCTCTGATCTATTTTGAGACAGAGTAAGAACATTATGGTTATAAATTGGGCTGTTAATCTCAAGGTCTGCAGTTCAGAACTATCAGCCATTCCATAGGAGAAATCTGAGGCTTTCTGCTCCTATATAGACTTACAGCCTTGGAAACCCTATGCAGGGTTGCTATGAGTAGGAACCAACTTGTGGCACACAACCACCACCACCAATGAATTAGATAACAATTGCTTGTGTTCCTCTACATGAGGGCTGTACTAGAACCCATTCCCTTTTGCACAATAAAACACAAAGAAAACTTGTATTCGGCTCCAATAAATTTTTAAGTGATCTGCAAAAGAGAAAAACTGGCTACAGCTAACTTAGTGAAGTAGTCAACCTATCTAATATTTGGAGTCCTGGTGTGGCGCTGTGGGTTAAGACCTCAGACTGCAAAATTGTTTGAACTTCAAAGTGGGTGGTTCAAGCTCACCAGCTGCTCCTTGGAAACCCTATACAGGGTCTCTATGGGTCGGAATCAACTCAACAGCACTTAACAACAACAACAATCTAATATTTAACAAAAAAAGGAGCATGTTAATAAATAGAATTTAATAATTATCGGAAAAAAAACACACACACCAAAAGACCTTGTGATATATAAACCAAACACTTAAGACGGTTAAATAGTTGTACATATGGCCTTTTTTAAGCCTGAACAATACGCAGTATAAGTCAGAAGCATATCATGTCTATGCCGCTTCAGTTACTAGCAATATGTTTACATTGGAGTACTGGTGTGGCACTGTAGGATAAGCACTGGACTGATGAGGTAGGCATTTCAAACCCACCAACTGCTCTCTGGGAATCCTATCTAGGGTCACCATGAATTGGAACCAACTTGATGGCACTTAACAACAAAAATACCCCAAAAACTAAATCCACTGACATCAAGTCAAATCTCATTCATACTTAACAGTATTGGGTTTGCTAGGCTGTAATTATGGGAGCAGAAAGCCCCATTTTTCTTCTATAGAGTGGGTGGTAGGTTTGAAATGCTGACCTTGGGGTTATCACAGTCCAGTGATTAACCTACAATACCAATCAGGGCTTCTTATAGAACTGTATTTGTCACTGTTATGTGCCCTCAAGTCCTTTCTGACCCATAGCAACAAAATGAAAAAACACCCGGTCTTGCCAATCGTCATAATTGCTGCTACACTTCAGCCCACTGCTGCTGACATTGTGCCAATCCATTCTGTTGGGGATCTCCCTCTTTTTTGCTGACTATCCACTTTACCAAGCAAGATGTACTTCTCCAGGGACTGAAAATACATCCAATGTATGAGAGACAAAATCTGATCATCTTGATTTCTGAGATGCATTCTACCTATCCTTCTTCCAACTCAGATTTGTTTGTTTTTCTGGCAATCCACAGTACCTTTAATATTCTTCTCCAA